TTTCCGAAACGGAGCCCCCCTTTCACTTCCCTCGCCCCTGACAACTCAATATCAGTTTTCTCCGCGTTATCTCCTCTGAGATCCTCCGTTTATAGTGAAAATTCCACTGAAACACCCTTCGATTTATCCTAAAAATCTGTTTAAAATTTATACGAAGAAATTGATAAATAAACGCGTTATCCTGTAGGAATATCAAGTTTACTCTGCTTCGTTCGATGATACTTGTTCGAATTGATGTCCCGGAGGAAATAATTACACGATGAAGTGACGGTGCGATTAATTTCAACGTTGTTAAGGATGTAATCGCGAAATAATTCAGAAACGCGTCCGCTGGAGTGGAAAGGTGGGCCCTGCTCCGCGGCCACGGTTGGTAAAAGCCGGCAGATGTATACTTCCGGCAGCTGGAAGAGTGGTGTCGTGTGCCTTTATGCTGCACGCGCCGATTGGCCATTAAAGAATAGACGCAGCTGGGGGATTCGATGATTTCGAGTGAAATCAATTTTCTGACCTGGCCGATCGATATCCTGCCCGCGTCGATTTCTTCCCGAAATATCGATATTAAGTTACCACCTTTTGTTGCAACGCGGAATCCATCATCCGCGAAATCGTAAATATCGGTTTACTAATTTGAAAGTTTCAAGCCACCTTCGAATCTCATGTCTAACACTGAAACTACCAAGCAGTTAAATTGGCTCTGAAATTTCTGTATAGAAACTCCAAGAGTGCATCGAGAATACAGTTGACTTATAATTCAGTTTGCGTGTCGTTCAATCAATCTTTTTAACACTAGAACTAACGAGCATTTAACCCTTTGAACTCTGTAGCTCCAATATTGCACCAGTTGTAATATTACATATTTTAATGAATCTTAAAGAAACTACCCTAAAATTATTAGATTTCCCACACATCCAAATTTTGTACTAAGAAGGACAATAAAAGATCGAAGAAATGTTATAGCATTTCTCATTTTCGCTAGGAATACTATAAAAATTAGTTGCAGTTGCTGATATATTACAAAACAACCTGGAGTGCTAAGGGTTAGTATGATTAATATGCAATTCCTATAAAAATTGTGACAATAGATTATTTTAAGTTTCTTCAGGCATTCATTATAGTACTGAAATGAAACTATTTATTTTCAGAATCATTTCGAATATTCAGTGCTTCGAAGATATCAATAATTGCTAAACAAAACAATCGAAACCAGTGATTTTGACTGGTACGGTAGTTTCAGTGTTAATCGATTGAGCACTTTTGTTCTAATGTAGCATTCGCTATATTTTCCTACAAATTCACGTTTTTTTTTATTTATATTTATTTATAGTCGCATCAACACTTGGGTCATTAGCGACTAACAGAGAGTTTACAAGTTATTCATTAGAGTTAACCTACATACGTAACATAGCTAATAATTTTATATACAGTACAAATTCACGTTGTTGAATTATATTTCTGTAATATTGCTGCGGTAAAATGGATTTCCAAGAGAGTGTTTAATAATCTTTTTACGATTTCATAAGTCAGGCGGGGATTAGGAGATTTTTAAAAAGTTCTCCTGTTACACTGTTCGGTGCTTAACGGCTTAATAGACTTTGCAACTTAGCAGACGAGCGCCGAGCGATAAAAATACTCGTGTAACATAGTTCCGAGCACAGTGCCAGTGATACACGGTGAACGTCGAACTTCGCGTTTTATATTTTTTTCATTTAATGTCTTGCAACTCGTTGCACATGTTGGAACCATCTGTCGCCTGCACGAAACTTTTCACTTTCGTAGTTACGGCCGCGATACTTTTATTGTCCGCGTACACATCGCAGCCTCTGCCCAACATTTTTATGCCGGCCAACTTCTCCCTTTTCCTTCGGCCGCCCCGGGAAAATGGACTTTGCAGTTTTCCTTTTCATGGACTTATAATGTTATCCGTAATAGTTTGCCGCTTTGGAAAGTGGCAACGAGCGGACGAACGGAGAAGCCTGCGGACACACTCTTCGAAAATGGTAAGAACGAAAGAAGAATTCTCCTCTGACACTTTGCACTCGAGATTTTTCTTAACACTTTGGCAACCGCTTAACACTAAAACTACCAGACGGGTCAAATGACCCGTGCCTGATGTCCTCTTTCTGAAATTATTAGAAAGGTAACAAATGTTTCTCTGAGAAGTTATCAAAGAAATTCATTTACCACTAAGCAAATTGAATTGTAAATCAATTTCTGAACAGATGCACTCTTGGAGTTTCTATAGCGAAATTTTAAAGTCAATTGAACTGCTCGGTAGTTTAGTGTTAAAAAAACTATAACAACCTCTTCCATTATCTTCAAGTGAACTCATTCAAATAATTTAGTTAAAAGCTTTTGTAAAAATAAGAACCTTATTTGATGAATTGCAAATAATCCCGCTTCAAGACTTACTAAAAAAAAAGTGAAAAGTGGGAGATTTCCCCTTCGGTTGGCTAAGTGTTTGTATCCGTTAATTCCTTAAATATCAATGATACTTTTTGCACCTAATATGAATATCTTGCATAAATTAAAGAAAACTATTTTATCTTGATATTTCATGTATCAATACATCACACAAAATTTAATATCGAGTTCTACATTTTACCATTTTGCTGGATCCAATTAAATAGCCACTGAAAAGAGCCCCAGGAGTGCAAGCGGTTAAACACTTGAAACTAACTTTAGTGCTTCGATTAAAATGCTTATTAACCCTTTGCACTCGGAAGTATTTCGTTAGATATATTCAACATTTTCTAACTAAACAAAGACGATGTTTTCTTAAATGAACTCAAAGAGAAATCACAAGTGAATTGAGAAACAAGGCTTTTTTATCTCAATATTTCACAGACCGATGCATTATACAATGTTCAATATTAAATATCAAATTTTATAGTTTTACTGCATCAAATCAAGTGGTGACTGACACTCTTGAGTGCAAAGGGTTAAGTCCAAGAGAAATGATACGTATCAAATAAAACTTCACCGGTAATGTAAATATAATTGTTGTAAATGTATTTAATAACATTCACAGGAAATCCCGTGAGTTATTGTAGCGGCAACCACGAGCTCCCGGTGCCCAGAGGAAAAGTAACAATTGATCGAAACGATAGGCGAGGGGAGGATGCAACGATCACGGAAGATCCGGGCGCATTGTGCATGGAAACAGCCGCGTCTCTGTCCAAACTATTCCATGCCGTAATTCGAGTGATTCTATCTCGCGTCTGCATCGACGTGCCACAATTCTCGGACGTGGCAATTCAGCCAATTTACTCGATTCCTTCGACGTTCCACAATGGGTCGCCAGGAGACCCCATCGCGGCCTCGCTGGACGCTGGAATGCAGACAGTTCCAGCTCAACGGGCCTATTTTCGCTTCTCCTCGCTAATCTCTCCTCAAATAATACCTTCGAACCACGGAACAATTTTACACTGTTTAATCACCGTATCGTTGCATTTCATGCAATCATCGCGAGCGAAAATATCGAAAATCAATCTAATTCTTCTGCATGAAAACTGAGAAGTTCAACACTAAACTTACCGAGAAATTGACTTTCCGAGATTCCCTTATAGAAACTCGACGATGTTTCTATAGAGATTTTAATTAATTCGTAATTCAGTTTACGTATTACTAAATCAATTTCATTAATTTCTCATAGAGACATTACCTTTGTAATAATCGCAGAAAGAAGGAACGAGTGATTCCGAGCCGTCCGGTAGTTTTACCGTTAAACTTTCGTATACATAGAATTTATGATCATTCTGAATGTTAAAGATGAAATAAACGATCAATTTGATTCCTTGAAATGAATATCGCTATCGGTCGCAATCTCTATCAACTTGATTATCCGTTAAACGAACAAACTCGAGATGATCCGTGATTCGAGGAATCGTATAAGCTTCCCCGAGAGGATCGCGGAGGATCTGCTGGTCTCTTTTCCAGGATATTATTTCCATGGACTTCCTTCCTGCCCCGGTGGCCACTGGAAGCTGATACTGTAAAAGGAAAAAGCGACCGCCGAGCCGAAGAAATCTGTGGAGTCGATTTAGCGCGGCAAGAATCTCGAAATCCCGTTACGTTCGAGGAGATCCAGCTCGCTTTCTTTTCGAGAACGTTGGATCCCATTGTCGTCCCTCTGCTCTATTGTTTTTGATATTTCCCGGGGACAATAAATACCGGGAGATCGGTTTCAACGAGAATTCCCGGGCACGAAAACAGAACGACCGACGCGACGAGACGCGCGACACGATTGATGCTTCGTAAGTATTTCTCGGCCCGTCACTGGGTTAAACCAGATGGCAATTAACGTCGATTTGTCGATAACTCGCTTGCATAACTGCATTCACGTGCAAGCTACAATGCAGATACGGAGACAACCGGCTTCGCAGACACTTTAATTAAAGTCTCCGATATTCAGCGCGGCGCGCTAATTAAAGTGCTCTCTGTTTGAACACGCAGCGAGTACACCTGGACAACAATTGAAAGCAGAAAGGTAACCAGAAATATCGAGGTCGGTTGTGTAAATGCGTGTGCCGACGGGATTATTCTTCTAAGAATGTACATCTCGCGCGGGGAAATTGTTAAATAATTTCCACCGCACCGAAACGATACTCCCCTTCCGAACGGTCAGCCAACAAACGCCTCACCTCATATTTCCATAATCCTATTTCCATAATCCCATCCCCGTATGTGTTAATTCGCGTCATTACATTCGCGAGAAACCCTTCGCACATTCAGCTTCTTATCTTTCTTAATGCTCTTTCCTCGTCGCGGCGTGGCGTTGTCGAGTCTCTCAGCGGGGAGAACGAAATAGCCCGAAGTAATTGTATTACGAAATCTCGCTCGACGTTTCATTCCTTTCAATCATCCCGTAAACCGACGTAACACAATATCCTCCTAACCGACCGAACACATTTCAATCTTTACAAATTCAAACTGTACACAGTTCGATGGGAAAACATTCTATTCCGTTACAGTCGCGAGTCGAGCAGAACGAGCCTACAAAAATGGACTCGTCACTGCCAGCCGAACCGAATCCCACCGAAGGGGTGTCCGGCAAAAACAAAGGGGCGCATTGAAAAAGGCAAGCCAAGAAACGAACGAAAAGGGACACGGAAAACAGTCTCTAAAATCCGGCAACCCTTTGACCAGCGACTCCACCGAAGGGGTTGAGGAGTCGCGTGGGGTTCCCAGTGACAAAGGAGAGGGGCGGAGGGGACGGAGAGCGGTGGATCGTTGGAGGTTTAAAAATCGTTGGCACGCGAACAGTGGCCGGAAGCGAACCCTCCTCGCTCGGCGGAGACTACGAGGGTGCAAAGAGAAAAGAGGTTGGTCCCCTGGTTGTCTCCCCCTACCCTGGGTGCCCGACGCCGTTCGTTTTTCCCCCCCATATGGCCGACACATGTGGGTTCCC